GATAGATAGATAGATAGATAGATAGATAGATAGATAGATAGATAGATAGATAGATAGATAGATAGATAGATAGATAGGTAGATAAGATAGATTAGATAGATAGATAGATAGATAGATAGATAGATAGATAGATAGATAGATAGATAGATAGATAGATAGATAGATAGATAGATAGATAGATAGATAGATAGAGAGAGAGAGAGAGAGAGAGAGAGAGAGATAGATAGATAGATAGATAGATAGATAGATAGATAGATAGATAGATAGATAGATAGATAGATAGATAGATAGATAGATAGATAGATAGATAGATAGATAGATAGATAGATAGATAGATAGATAGATAGATAGATAGATAGATAGATAAATCGATAGATAGATCGATAGATAGATAGATAGATAGATAGATAGATAGATAGATAGATAGATAGATAGATAGATAGATAGATAGATAGATAGATAGATAGATAGATAGATAGATAGATAGATAGATAGATAGATAGATCGATAGATAGATCGATAGATAGATCGATAGATAGATCGATAGATAGATCGATAGATAGATCGATAGATCGATAGTTAGATCGATAGATAGATCGATAGATAGATAGATAGATAGATAGATAGATAGATAGATAGATAGATAGATAGATAGATAGATAGATAGATAGATAGATAGATAGATAGATAGATAGATAGATAGATAGATAGATAGATAGATAGATAGATAGATAGATAGATAGATAGATAGATAGATAGATAGATAGATGGATGGATAGATAGATAGATGGATAGATAGATAGATAGATAGATAGATAGATAGATAGATAGATAGATAGATAGATAGATAGATAGATAGATAGATAGATAGATAGATAGATAGATAGATAGATAGATAGATAGATAGATAGATAGATAGATAGATAGATAGATAGATAGATAGATAGATAGATAGATAGATAGATAGATAGATAGATAGATAGATAGATAGATAGATAGATAGATAGATAGATAGATAGATAGATAGATAGATAGATAGATAGATAGATAGATAGATAGATAGATAGATAGATAGATAGATAGATAGATAGATAGATAGATAGATAGATAGATAGATAGATAGATAGATAGATAGATAGATAGATAGATAGATAGATAGATAGATAGATAGATAGATAGATAGATAGATAGATAGATAGATAGATAGATAGATAGATAGATAGATAGATAGATAGATAGGCTGGCAGACAGACAGACATTCAGACAGACGAAAACATCCAACTATATAAGTATTCTAGTATTAAAACAGTCACTAGATTTTTACAAAACCTACAAATAGTAAACATAATTGAAGCTAAAAGCCCATTTCTTGTAATTTCCAATCCATGTTTTCGAATCCGACAGACTTTGGAGGCAGGCCAGAGTTTTGACAGATCCAGTGTTTCACATCGATGGCCGAATTCATTTCTTGGCCATAGAATTCCCGGAATATTACACGGACTGTACATCAGCGATCAATCTTCAGTATTCGACTACTCTTGTTGTCGCCGAGGTGCCTCGGATTTCCATGTTCATACAAATCTAGGAGAGTCGATTTTTTCGTCAGGTCATAGAGATGCTATTGTTGATGCCTTGTGACCGGTTAGTTTCATTGAAATACGGTACTTGGGTTAGTGAAGCAGCTGACCATTATTGTACAAACCTGATTGTGTTGAATTTGAAACCTCGACTAGGAAGGACTACGAAACACAAATTTCACTAAAATATCGATCTCGGAAATCATGTCAAAAAGACTATAATTTCATATTAGCCACTGTACTTATTATTGCTTGATCATTAATGACAGAGGCTTACTTTTTCCGATGACGTCAATATATTGCGGGCCTACATAAAAAAGCAATTATTAAGTAAATATTAAAAAAAAAAATTTACATTTTAAATTAAAAAAAAAAAAATGGCTGTCAAGTAGAAGGAGAGTCACCTTTATTAAAACATCAGATAATGTCACGTCTGGGTCAAAATGGACGCTAGTCACGGTCAATGATTTAAGTCGTGGCACATTTCTTGCTTTAGCCAGACGGTGGCCGTTGCAATTTTGTCTTATTTGTAGGCAGAAAGGATATCCTAGCTGCTGAGTTAAGTGTATGGCGCGACACTGTGAGATGCGGATTTCACTAATAATGTTTTTTGACTGTGACCAATGTTTTATTCTGAATTGTAGATTCAGAAAATGGCGCGTTGCCTGTCGTCGCAATATTCGTGGTGCCCTTATGTGATTAAAATTTATCGCGTGTGCAACTGCTGATCTGTTGGTAAGTTCTGCAACCGTCGAGGATGAATTGCATTTCTAATATCGGACTGTTTGTGTTAGCACTTTTAATGGCTGTCGTATGCTTTTAATGCGTGTGTATGCTAGTGCATTTGCTGAGACAGCAGTCTGTCAGTCTTTCCACAAAGGACTGTGGTGATTATTCTGTGAGTTTTTAGTTGGCACAGAAAC